TGCATGTTTCTATTATTGATTATCTTGTGAGGTTGAGAGCAAAAGCACGAAGGGTGATGTCGTGCATTTTCCGTTTGCTGTGTTTACTTGTTATTACCGGTTCAAAGTGTATTAGCTGTTTAAATTCCTCTAATGTTGTGATTCTTTATTTTGGTACCCCTTAGCATGTCTTCCCCTCCCGTTATATATGTTTATCTTCTGTTAATTGTTATTTCTATTAGCATATTGAGGCTATAATTGTGTATTTTAGTCGCTTATTACACTCAAATTTACTGCACTTTAATTGAGTTTGAGCTTTAATCGCTAGTGTCTTGCACTAATTGTGTGTTTTATGCCTTGTAGGAGTGATTCCGAGCTATGTAGATGTTACAGAATGAATTCAAGTGATTTGGAGCTTTGAAGTCTGAGTAAAAGCTCAAGGAATTAAGCCGGGATCGTGTTCGGGGGTCAACGGATGATAGTTAGACCAAACGAAGAATCGAGTAGGCATATTGCGCACTATCTAGTAAAATGCACATAACTTTTTGCTCAGTACTCCATTTGGGTTTCACAATATATGATTGGAAATCTAACTCAAAGGGCTACAACTTTCATGTTTTACGTTTTTCCAAATTCCAAAAGGAACAGGGTAAAAAATGCGGTCGAAACCGCGATCGCGGACCCGGTCGCGGATTGAGGCAGTGCACTTGTTAATATGCGCGGCCACTAGCACGCCCGCGCTAGTCCAGGCCTGGAAACTTGTCATTTTTCACATTGGAGAAGGTATAATTGTCTGGGCCCAACCCTACTTGGTATATATACATGGAAAAATGATATTTTGAGAGAGTTGGACATACTTTTGACACAGATTCGACCTAAGGAGGCAGAGACACAATACGAGCAAGGCGGGGAATTCTTCTACGAGTTTTTCCTTCCTCTTCCTATTTTTCATTGTTGGTTATAACTTTTAGTATTGTAGTTTTACATACTATTATGAATAGCTAATTTGTTATCTGGAGTTTTGATAGAACCTTTTGTAGGATAAATTCTTGTTATGTTTTTATATAATTGAGCCGTAGCTTTTCTCTATTTGTTCAACTACGTTTATATTGTGGTTGGTTGAAGAGCTCTCAATTGACTGTGCGTATTTAATGTGTATTACTCGGGAGAGAGTGCATATTTAGGTAGTTGTTGAACAACATCACTCCCGACGTATGTGAGGAATCAATAACCAAGGGTTTAAAGGTCGGATTGGGGATAACGAAACCTTGGGTGCGATCTAAGTGAGCTGTAATTAAAGCCAGCTAGCGTAACTCGGGAGAGTATGTCTAGTAAATTATCGTAATTACTCGGGAGAGAATTACTACACGCAGAGTGCTCATGATCGGTAGAGAATACTTAGGCGAAATTATAGAAGACATAGCGGGAAGGATTCCGACAATTGGAAAAATCATAACTCTAGACCTCCTTCATCTTTTCTCCAACCTGTAGTATCTTTAGAGTTAATTTATTATTTTAATTTGTTAGTTAGCTAGTTAAACACAAGAATCTTAATATCTATAAGTTGTGAATTGTTCAAGCTTGTATTCTTGGTGATAGTGAACAACTATTGCTAAGCCTTAGTTCTCTATGAGATTCGACTCCGGACTTGTAAACCGGATTATATTTGCAACGACTGCTTAGTCCTTTTTATAAGGCATAGTTGGGCGTGATCAAATTTTGTTTAACTGCACAGGTTTATGTATGTGTCTTGTCTTAGTCTCGTCACTACTTCGCCGAGGTTAGGCTCGGCACTTACCAGTACATGGGGTCGGTTGTACTGATACTGCACTCTGCACTTTCTGTGCAGATTTCGGTGCCGGCCCGTGTTGACTCGAGTTGAGCTACTGCCTTCAGTCCAACAGGAGACCCAAGGTAGATTTGCCGGCGTTCGCAGACCCTGAGTCCCCTTCTAGTTATCCTATTTCCCATTTTCTTTTAATTCGAGAACAGTTGTATTTTCTTTCAACCAGTATTTGTAGTGACTCTTAGATGTTCGTGAATTGTGACACCAATTTCTGGGTAGTTGTGTATAAGTACTTGGATTATTATAAAATTCCGCACTCCTTTAATCTGTTTTGGTTTAATTGCTGTTATTTACTGAATTCTTTAGTGGTTAACGTATTAAATCTCTATCTGTTGACTTGCCTAGCAGTCTGAAAAGTTAGGTGCCATCACGATCCCGACGGTGGGAAATCCGGGTCGTGACTGTTTAATGGAAATAAAGAAATAAAATTTTAATGAAAGATAATATTAATAATATATAAGAGAGAGAAAAATATAAAAATAAATATTTTTTTTTGGAGTAAAAAATGGAGTAATGGTTGGAGTTAGTTTACTCCACATCTTGGAGTAAAAATTTGGAGTGAAGGGTTGGAGATGACCTTAAAAGCCTATTCGTTAGTGAAATTCGCTATAAGTTATTGATTTTTTATTTATTTCTGCTTACAGGTCATGTATAGTTATTTATGATTTTATTCAAACTTTTTTAATACTCTTTCCATGCTAAATGATTCTAGAAAATAAGAATAATGTGAAATTAAATAACTTGATGGTATCAAAGCCAACAAGTAAATAGATCAATTTATGATAACTTAACATTTTAACATGCTAGCTTAGAGCAAATTTCCTGGATGGTCACCCAAGTTATAAGGATATACTAACAAAATTACATTTATTTTATTTAGAACAACAAAATCACCCAACAATTACTTTTTGACTCAAAAAATAAAAACACATATCTAATATACCATATCATATAAAATTTTATTTTTTAATTATAAACTCAATTTAATTCGTGGCTCAAGTACCCATCTAACCCACCCAATAAATAAATGGGTCTACCTTAAAAGTTCCTAGTCTATTCACATTCCCTCATATTCCATCAAGAAATCACATGAGATAAAACATGGAATTCAAGGGTCCTAAAGTAGCGTCCAAATATAAACTTTTCAAAGAAAAGAATGTACTTCTTCAATTTTTCAAGAAGTAATTTAATAGATTTGTAGAGAGAATTGTCTCTTCAGACGCTATATACCATTGATGTCGACCAAATATACCACCACGAGGTAAAATCCATAGGTCTTTTTTTATTTTTTTTTTTTTTTTGTCTTTTAAGTGTAGAAGATAAAATAATTTCAAATACCCAACGAGATATTGAAGTAATTTTCTTAAAAGTTATGTTTTTTATGGTTTGAATCAGTTTTTCTATTTGTGTGTATGATTTATGTAATTGTGGAGATAATTTAATCTCGTTGTGCGTGTATGTATTTTCTGCATATTTTCTTCTATTTAGTATGCCAATCAAAGGTTTCGTTGTGGTAGCTCTTTTATTCAAAGAATTTCAGTACAAATTGCAAGGGGAAAAACTCTTTGGAATACGTTTTAAAATTTTTTGGATCACAAATTATGAGAAATTGAGCAAACATACTGAAACAACCCGATTAGCAAAATTGAAAATCAAAATACTATACCGAAAAAGTAGAAACTAAGCAAATTGAATAAAACTAGCTAATGCCGACCCAAAATATTGTACCGAAATACTTAAAAATTGAACTAATCTAACCAATGCAACATTTCTTCCGTTACCACTTCCCTCGTTTTCTATTTCTTTTTTATTTTATTTACTCCCAACAGAGCAAAAATTGTCTTATCGGCCAGTACATTGTAGTACATTTGGCGGGACTACGGAGATGGCGGAGCGTGGCGTGGGCCCGACTTAGTGCCTTCTCGTCTACTTGGTTTGCGACCTTTACCCATAGCTTTGAAGACGCATACACAACCTCTGGGCTTTGATAATACTCAAAATAATGTAGGTGACACACATTTAATCTCCAAATTAGCCCGTAAATGATGATGGGTCATGGTGATAGGATATCCCTATAACTTGGGTGACCATCCAATGAATTTACTCGCTAGTTTAGGATGGACCACAAAAAACCTCCCCACATTTCAAGTTCACTCTTTCAATAATCGAGCCATCGTCTTCAGAAAATAATCATATAACTTACTTACATTCAAGGGAAATAGAGGCAGACACGGTGGATATTTGTTCTTGAAGATATAATGTATTTAATAAGAATGAGGAATGGTAAAAAAAAAATACGTATTATGCCTTAAAATATGCGATCACTCCAAACACTGAGGATGATTTGTAAAAACAGAATAAATAAAAGAACAAAATCACTCTACACGAACTGTGGGGATTAATTTGTAACAAGGTAACTCTAATATTTTAAAAGGTGTATTACAATTGAAATTCTCAAAGAAGTTTACTAAGTACCTCAATAATATGACTCTATTATATATACTCTTCCGTCTTCATGTATTTTAAAATAAAATATTTATAATTTTCTTATTATAAAAATCTTACAAAAATATTAATATAATGCTATATTCATTTTACTAGGATGTTAAGTATTTAGTTTAGAAAAACTATAAAGTATACAATATAATTATAAAAAGTAAATTTTAAAATAATTTAAAATTTTTATGTATTTAATTTTATGAATTTAAGAGGATAACAATTTTTTTGGAAATATTTAGCTATCCTTCTAATTAAAAACAATAAACTTTTTTTTTTGAAACATGTACTCTTCAAATCTCTCTCTCAAAAAAAGACATCGTATTATTTATATTATTTTATTAGTAATAAATCTCATACATTTTAACGTGTAAGTTATTTGCATTTTGTTTTGAATAATAATATTTTATTATACAAAATTTCTTTTTCTGTTTAGTTCAGTTATTTGTTTTTTCACTTTAAATTATCTTATATTTAATTAGCTAAATAAAATTTTCGTGTAAAGGATTTCTATTATGTAAGGGGGGTCAAATTCATTTAGAAAAAAAAGGATAACATAAATTCTATATAGGATGTAAGGGAGGTGTAACAAAATATAAGGATGTATTTGTTTGTAATTGCGCAATATTATACCCCACTAATTTCTTTTCAACATAGTTATACTAATTGATGTCTGCAATTAAACTAGGCCGACGGATCCAGCCTCCGGTGAACCCGTCGGCACTTTCTCCAGTCGAATCAAATCGCCGGAAACTTCAGTGACCTCACAGCACAGGTACGCCTCTTCTTCCGCTCGTTCTGCGGGTACTAAAAATATGGAATTATAGCCAAACATCAGCTTCTCCTCTGTACATGCCCGAACCATCTGAGCCGCGCTTCCCGCAACCAATGGGAGTCAACCCACTTTCTCCCGAATTTCATCATTCCTAACTTATCCATCCTAGTGTGCCCACACATCCACCTCAACATCCTCATTTCTGCTATTTTCATCTTCTGGATATGTGAGTTCTTAACAGGTCAACACTCAGCCCCATACATCATGGCTGGTCTAACTACCGCTCTATAAAACTTACCTTTGAGTATCGCTGGCATTCTCTTGTCACACAGGACTCTAGATGCTAACCTCCAATTTATCTACCCCATCCCAATACGGTGTGCGACATCCTTGTCTGTCTCCCCACTCCCCGGATAACCGACCCAAGGTACTTAAAACTGCCTCTAGTAGGGATGACCTGTGATTCAAGCCTCACTTCCACACTCGCTTTTCTCGGCTTGGCACTGAACTTGCACTCCAGGTATTCCGTCTTAGTCCTGCTCAGCTTGGAATCCTTAGACTCAAGGGCATGTCTCCAAACCTCCATCCTCTCTTTAATACCGTCTCGCGTCTCATCAATCAGAATTATGTCGTCAGTGAATAACATACACCATGACCACGGTATCTCCCCTTGAATATGGTGTGTTAATGCGTCCACCATAAGGGCAAATAAGAACGGGCTGAGCGCAGAACCTTGGTGTAACCCCATAATAACCGGGAGAAACTAGAAAAATTAAAGGATTATTTGATATCTTTTGTTAGTTATGTGCAACACTTCTTAAGGCATATTATTTGTGTCTTTCTTTTGCTAAAAACTTGTGTTCGTATTATTGTTTGAAATGAGTTGCAGATAAATGTACAATTTTAATTATTGAGCAAAACTTGTAAGCTTATGTAATCATGTTGGTAATAAAATTTAAAGTGGTTATTTACCGGTTACAACTGGGTTGAGGTGCACAATCAGATTTATCTTTTTCAGTTAGGAATATTATGCATCCTAACAACAAAGAGAATGTAATGACCTAACTGGTCGTTTTGAATATCTGCACTTCACTTGGTACTTTGAGGGCTCGAGTATCTCCGTATGATGTATTATGACTTGCGTAAATCATCGGTATTGGTTTTCAAGTTATCTGGAATCAGTTTGGAAGAATGAACTTCAGGATTTAAGTTCTAAGTTGGAAGAATTGACCAAGTTTGATTTTTTTAGCATTTGACCTCGAAATGGAGTTTCGTCAGTTCCGTTGGCTCCGTTGGGTGATTTTGGACTTAGGAGCGCGTCCGGATTGTTATTTAGGGGTCCGTAGTTGAATTAGTCTTGAAATGGCGAAAGTTAGATTTTTTGAGAAGTTTGAGCGGGAGTGGACTTTTTGATATCGGGGCCGGATTCTGATTCTGGAAGTTGGAATAGGTCCGTAATGGCAATCGGAAGTGATTTGATATGGTTCAGACGCTCGGTTGTGATTCTAGAAGTTCTTGAAGTTTAGTTTGATTTTCATGCGTTTTGGCGTCTGATTCGTGATTTTAGAAGTTATTTTGACGATTTGAGCACGCGAGCGAGTTCGTGTCGTGTTTTTAGACTTGTGTGCATATTTGGTTTGGAGCCCCGAGGGCTCGGGTTAGTTTCGGATTGATTTCGGAATGATTTTTCATAATATTTGAGTGCTGGTGCTAGTGTCATCGCATTTGCGATGTATTGGTCACAAATGCGAAGAAGTCATCGCATTTGCGAAAAATTGGACTGCTGGGCGGATTCGCATTTGCGAGGTTTGGTTGCTCGCTTTTGCAATGACCCTAACGCTTTTGCGAGGCTATGGGCTTCGCATTTGCGAAGTTTTGGTCGCAAATGCAACCTTAACAGAAATCCTCCAGGTTCGCAATCGCGATAAGTTTTTCGCATTTGCGGGGTTCGCAAATCACAAATGCGCCATCTTCAACCTGTTAAGTGCTGAGAATTCCGAGTTTTTGCTTCATTTTCATATTTTTGAACCCTAGCTTCGAGGAGAGGCGGTTTTGTGAAGGAATTTTCATACCAAATAATTGGGTAAGTATCTTTAATTAATTTCCAACTATATTTCATGACTTTATACAAGATTTAACTTCAAATTCATGGGAAATCTATGGAAAAATTTGGGAATTTTGTCAAAGTTTTAAAAAATGAAAATTTGAGATTTGAGAGTCGAATAAGACTCGGATTTGAAAACAAAATACATATTTGGACTCGTGAGGCTATGGGTGGTCAAGACCTACCCTCGGGCCCGGGTTTTGACCGGGCCGGCCCGGGGTTTGACTTTTGTCGACTTTTTAGAAATTGAATAAAAATCACAGCTTTATTAATTGAAATTATTTCCTGTTGCATTATGTGATGTATTCAAGTCGTCTTTGTCTAGATTGAGCTGAGCGGAGGTGAATTTGTAGAGGAAAAGGCTAAGTTGAGTGTTGGGTTAGCCGAATCGAGGTAAGTGTTTTGCCTAACTTTGTTGAGAGAATTTTTCCTCTTATTTGACATTGTTTGCTACATGCGGGGGTGATACATATATGAGGTGACGAGCGTGTATGTATATGCCAAGGTTAATCATGCTCGGGTGGTGGATTATGTTACATGTATGTTTGTAGAATTTCGTGACTAATCACGCACAACTATGCCTTATAAAAGGACACGCGGACGTTGCAAATATAACCTGAGTATTTAAGCCTAGAATCGAATCCACAGAGAATTAACCTATCAATTACTTTTGTTGGACTTACTAAATTCTTTATAATCAACTTTCCCAAACGTTGTAAACAATAGTTGATGGTATTTCTAATAACTAAGACTGAAAGTAAATAAACAGCTGTAAACTAAATATGCTTGGGTTGTAAACAATAATGAGAAGGTTCTAAGGTAGTGATTTCCCCTATTGATGGAATCCCTTCCGGTTATGTTTCATATAGATTCACCAAACCATCTCTATCAATCATGAGCATTCTTTTTACCGTAAATCTCTCCCGAGTAATCGCAATAATTTACTAGACGCACTCTCCCGAGTTACGCTAGCTGACTTAATTTATTACAGCTCACTTTAGATTGCACCCAAGGCTTCGTTATCCCTAATCCCGCCTTTAAACCCGCAGTTATAGATCCCTCTTATACTTTGGGAGTGGTGTTGTTCAAGAATTACCTAAATATGCACTCTCTTCCGAGTTATGCACACTAAATAGGCACAGCTAATTGAGGATCCTGTCAATTAACTACAACAAACACGTAGTTGAACAAATAGAGATTAACTGGCAAACTATATTAACATAATCAAGAAGTTCAGCCTTCTATAGGTTCCATCAAAACCTTAGACTAAAGTATTTAGCTACTCATAACAACGTAAGGATAAACTACGAAAATATTCATAATTGAAAAATAACAAGAAAAAGAAGAGATAAAGAACTATGATGTTTTTGGGTGATCTCTCACACTTGTGTATCTTGCAAAAGTATTCTCCAAAACAAGTCTACCCTAATGTGGCCGAATTTCTACATCTTATAAGGGTTTTACACCAAGTTTTTCCGACTTGACACTTTGGTTCCTGAATCTGCAACAATGTTCTGCCGCAGTCCTATCGCGGTTACGCCCGGACAGCGGCAGGCCAGCTTTAGTTCTGGTTTTGTCCCTTCGCTTGGTGCACTTTGTGGGTATTGTATGATTGGCCTCCTTTTCTCCGTAATTGATCCCAAAAGTACTCCACAGACTTCTTTTATTGGATATACCTGCAAAGCATGAAAAGCACTAATCAGAGCATTTGGTTATCATTTTTTTAACCAAAAAGCTATACAAAAATGTGGTTCTTTAGGGCCTAATTATAGTCTAATTCACCTATTATCAGTGACCTCTTGTCTCATGCCTCACTTGACTTCTAGATATTAAGAACCTAGTATTAAATGTTAGAATCGAGACTTAGCCTAATAAACCTGATCAATTTGATGGAATTCTAAGAATACATTGATGTGCCTAATTCGGTCATCTCTATGCATAATCATTAATACATTGCTATGGCCGATATTTTGAGATGCTAGATTCCATACTTGTGTCGTTGAAAATTGTAGGATTTGTGGAGGTACTTGAATTATGTGGCCCTTGAGGGCTTATTGAATCATTGTCGGCTTAGAAATGCCGTGATTGAGAATCAGTTGGAATATTCGTTTGAACACTCTCCTTGATATTATTTATGCTTCCTGCCTTGTCATTTTATTAATATCGTATGCTTCGTAAGGAAGAGTGTAAAGCACGAAGGGTGATGCCGTGCCATTTCATATACATTATCATGCGAGGAAGAGTGTAAAGCACGAAGGGTGATGCCGTGCCATTTCATATACATTATCATGTGAGGAAAGAGTGTAAAACACGAAGGGTGATGCTGTGCCATATCATGTGAGAGTAAAAGCATGAAGGGTGATACCATGCCATTTCATTTATATTGTAAGGATTTTAATATGGCGAGGTCATGGCACGAAGGGTGTGTCTGTGCGGGTGAGGATGAGGGACATGCATTATGATGTGATATATGTTTTTCGTGTATACATTTATGCCTTTATCTTGAGCTGTCGCTGTCGTAATTATATATTTTGTGTGACTTGTTGTTATTGTTCCGTACTTGACCTCCATCTCAGTTGTGTTGTGTTGTCCATGTATTTTACTTGCTTAACTTGCATATGCCATTCCTATTTTCTGCTTTTAAAATTATACTCATGCCATACCTATACTCTTGCACTCTAGTTTAAACATTCCAGCATGCCAGTCATTCATGCCCTTACTTGTTAACTTGAAAAAGATCATGTGTTTCTTTCTTACTTGTCATAATTGTACTTAGGCCTCCAATATGCTAGTTAGTTGACGTTGATATTCCTTGCTTTCTAATTGTTGTTATTACTCACGTGCTTTCTGTTTAGTCCTTTACTGTTGCCCACATGTATATCCTTGTCCATTGTTGTTACTTGCGTATTTCCTACTTTGCAATTCCTGTTATCGTGTTTCTGTCATCTGGTTGATTCCCTTATACGTACATTTGGAAGGATGTGTTGAACGCACGAAGGGTGTTGCCGTGCTAATTGATTTGTCACATAAATTTATTTATATATGGTGAGGATGAGATAGAAGCACGAAGGGTGTTACCGTGCAATTTGACTTGATATCTTGGATACACTTCTCCTACCAGGAAAAACTGTAAATCTTCTACTGTGGTTCCTTCTAGTAATTGTTGACTGTCTCGTAGAGTTGTATACGGTACTTCTATCTGTTATGTTCTTAACTGCCTATACTGTTAGTCTAATGTACAGGTTATAACAATAAGCATCTTTTAACTAAAAGCCTCGTCACTTCTTCGACGAGGTTAGACAAAATACTTACCAGTACATGGGGTCGGTTGTACTGATACTGCACTTCTGCACATTGCGTGCAGATTTTGGAGCGGAGCTGCTGGTGACGTCGGGTGCTGATTCGGAAGGTGTTCGTGCATTTGGATATAGCTGCCACTTGTCCTTGGTAGCTTAGGTTATTGCTAATCTGTTTATGTAACCTTCAAACATAACATGTATTTATTTGTATCAGTTCTGAAATTCCAAATCTTAGAAGCTCGTGATTCGTACTACCAGGTCTTGGGTAAATTTGTAAATGCTCAGTTATCTATTCTC